CCAGAAAATGGGGTTTTATTACATTCAAAGCTGGTTTTTTGAGTCATTTCTCGTGGCCTGCGGTGGCATTGGGTGGCTCCTCCTCCTCCTGGGGATTTGGGGCAGGTGGGGGCAGGCTTCTTCTCCTACGCTCTGTTAGGTCTTCTCGGAGTAATTACCAAAGTGTAATTACCTAAGCGTAGTTACAGGATGAGAGCTACTCTTGTGGTGTCCCGTCTTCCCAGCACTCTTTGTCATATAACGCTTTGAAACTACTGACGGTCTTGGCCTCCACCACCTTCTCACCTAACTTGTTCCAACCGTCTACCGCTCTGTATGCGAAAGTGAATTTTCTTATATTTCTTCGGCATCTGTGTTTAGCTAGTTTAAATCTATGACCTCTTGTTCTTGAAGTTCCAGGTCTTAGGAAATCTTCCCTATCGATTTTATCAATTCCTGTTACTATTTTGTACGTAGTGATCATATCACCTTTCTTCTGTCTTCTAGTTATGGCATATTTAATGCCTCTAATCTCTTCTTGTAGCTCTTGCCTTTCAGTTCTGGGAGCCACTTAGTAGCATGTCTTTGCACCTTTTCCAGTTTGTTGATGTGCTTCTTAAGATATGGGCACACCACACAACCGCTGCATATTCTAGCTTTGGCTTAACAAAAGTCGTGAACAATTTCTTTAGTATATCGCCATCCATGTATTTAAAAGCAATTCTGAAGTTAGAAAGCGTGGCATAAGCTCCTCACACAACGTTCTTTATGTGGTCCTCAGGTCATAGTTTTGTATCTAGAACCACCCTAGATCTCTTTCTTTGTCAGAATGCTTTAACCCTCAAACCGCTAGGGCCCCAAATGGAATTCACACCCACAGGCGCAACAAAAAAAAAAAATCCAAAAAATTCTTTCGTCTTATAGAAGTGTTCATTTTTGTTCCCTGATCACGGAAAAAATAACAAAAAAAATCGTAGGTGGCATATTTTAGCCGCAATAGGGTAGGGAAGTGTGGTAAAAAAGGGGCGTTGGCAGAGCCTTCGCCAGACGAAGTCTACTCCGCCCGAGCTGTCAGACGGCAGTTGCCACAAATATATTATTACCTAATTATTTCAATGTCTCTGATTGATTTTTTCTTAGTTTTTTTGCAGTAATATTATTCCATACAGTGAATTGTGGTATATTTATATAATAAAATGTATGAACCATCGCTGTACTCAAAATTATGGTGTGCATATTAGTGATTCAATTATGTTCATAAAACAATAAACAAATATTTTTGCTGTTGTTACACTATATACACAGGTTATATATAAGTATCTGCATGTTTTGTACACCATAACGAACTACTAAGTTGGTCTTGTGAGTCAAAAAGCAACGAGGAGTGACCGCCAAACACCAGCGAGCCACTCACTGCCACTCCCTCCCTCAACACCACCTCACTCACCCTCAATCACCTCCCACAATACTCTTTCTGTATTTATTCACTATACACAGACGTTATATATACGTATTTACATGTTTTGTTCACCATAACTGTACATCTAAGCTTGTATGGTGAGTAAAGGCCATAAGACGTAGCTACTCACACAGTCAGGTGATCGGCAGCCGCCCTCAAGGCCAGACGCACTAATATTTGTCATCCAACAATATTGTTTGTGGTGTTATTACGCTATATACACATATTATATATAAGTATCTACCTGTTTTATTCACCATACCTGAACAAATAAGCAGGTATGGTGCCCAAAGATCATAGTGGCCATCAGTAAACAACATGCCAAGTCGTGCAGACGACGCTCCTCCCTCACCAAAATGGCGGCTCCCAACCTACTCCTCTTGCTGTTATCTCACACTATACACACGTTATATATAAGTATCTACATTTGTGTTCACCATATCGAACCACTAAGCTGGTATGGTGAGTGCAGTCAATAAATGGTGGCCACACACAGTGAGAAAACGACGCCACAACCCTCCCTCCCACAGCATTACTCCTCCCTCCATGGAGCACTGCGCTAAATATCACCACAATCCTGCTATTATCAGAATGTCTCGGCTTCGCGTTGCAGAGTTTGTGGCGCTGAACAGCGGTGCTGTGAGCTCGTGCTGCGTGCGCCAGCCTTGGTGGCTTGCTCAATACTGACCTGTAACACCCAAGAATGTTGGCCTGGATTTTTTTTCTAGGTGGCATCTGGCAACTACCGGTCGTGGCTGTACTATAGCTGCCCCTATCCCAGGCGGGGCGTTTAAATTATAGCGCTAGACACGAAAACATATATAAATGATGTGCGCGGTTTCGGTTTTGTCACTGATATCATTTATATATGATATGCGCGGTTTGAGGGTTTTAAAGATTTCCCACATAATATATAGGTTGTGTGGGGTCTATGTTCTCCTATTCCACATTCCATAACATGCCTCCCGGGTTAGCCCTTTCTTTTCCTTTTCTTTGGGTATGAAGCTCCAGGGAGCCATAGGGGCTCCTCACAGAAAACCAGCATTGAATGTAATGAAATGCCATTTTCTGGGTGAGCCCCGGAGGCTCTCTGGCAAGAACTGAACCCTCCATTTCTCCAACCGGTCGGTGTTCATTTTTCAGTCAGAAAATTTTTCATCGTTGGTTGAAGCTTAGCTTCCGAACTGAAGCTTGGCAGCCGGCGAGGTAGGTCCAGGGCTCCCCCCTCCCCCCTCTCGGGGCGGGGAGGGCTGCACAGACGATCGGTGCAGCAGTAAAGTGTGATGTTTGTTTGTTTCCTTGGGATTGTAGGGAGTTTCTACCTCTCTGTTCAGTTTTTTGTTTTAGTTTTTTACCATGTGGAGTTTGTTTTGTCATGCCTACCTTTCTGGGTTAACCAGCCTTGGTTTCAGCCGCTGTTTGCCCGGTGTCCGAACACGGAGGTTTTTCCGTGGCTCCGCCTCTTCCCACAGATCGGTCCAGTCTGTTACGAGACTGGTTCGCTCTTCTCCTTGAGTCTTTGCATTTGGTCTTTTTGACTCGAGTCTATTACCATCTGTAAGATGATCAGGTGGCATCTTTGATGGTGTCCCACCTGTGGGCTTCATCTTGGCGACAGTATGAAATTTCCTGGCGGTCCTTCCGTTTCCTTTTGACTCTTCGTCGTTGTGCATTTTTTTCAGTTAAGGTTGTTTTGTCCTTTTTCTCGCTGCTGTTTCAGGACCGTCATCTTGTGGCATATACTGTCGCCTCCTATCATGCGATGTTGGCAGAGCCGCTGCAGCTTGCTTTCGGTATAGATGTTATTTCTGCGCTGTTTTGCAAACTGTCTTGTGCGTTGTTTCACCTCCAGCCTGCTCATGCGCCGCCTGAGCCATCCTGGTCTTTGGACAGAGTGCTCTCCTATCTCACTTCTCCTCGGTTTGTTGTGGCCCCTTCGGTTCAGGTTTGTTTTTCTAAGGCTCTTTTTCTTGTTGGCATTGGCTTCTGGGGGTCAGGTTGCAGAGCTTCATGCTCTTCTCCGGTGCAGGGGTTTCTTCTTTTTTGCTCGTGGTGATAGGTTTCTCCGTTTGCAGCCGTCTCTTTTTTTTTTTCTGACGAGGAATGAGACTGCTGCTTTCCGGAGGGGTCCTTGGGTTGTTGATGCTTGGTTGGTAGGCTTGGGGTGCATCATGTCATGTATTTGGTTGCAGCCCTACGCCGTTATTTGTGCATCACGGCTTCTGTGTCCAGGAACGCGCTTTGGGCCGATCCAGTTTCCCTTCTTTCCTGTTCTCGGTTGCAGGTCTCTCAGGTCGTCTGCAGGGTTATTAAGTCTAGCCAGCCTGCGGTCTATCCCCGTGCCCATGACGTTCGTAAGTTTGCTGTGCTTGCTGCCGACTCTGGTAACAATGTCCTGGGCTGACATTCGGGCACAGAGTTTGTAACTGTCGAACAGGGTCCTGGCTGCATGCTACCTCGTTAATGTTCCTGAGCCTAGTCAGGCTTGTGTCGCTTTGGGTCGTTGGTTGCAGCCTGTTGTCTCGACTTCGAGTCGAAGACTGACCGCCTCCCAGGTAGGTCCCCTTTCATTTTCGTCTTTTGTGAAGTAGCTCCAGGGAGCCGAAGGGGCGCCCCTCGAAAAACCAGCGTTAAATGTAATGAAATGCCATTTTCTGGGCGAGTCCCGTAGGCTCCCCGGCAGCCCTCCCTCCTTCTGGTTGGCGGTTTTTTCATACTTTAATATCCAGCATCTGAACTGGAGTATGGATCGCTTGTGTGGTGCCTGGGGGCTCCCCCATTTCCCCTCCCGGGGAGGGGGGGGGGAGCTGCACAGACATGCGGCGTGGCTCATGTGACATTATGCTCGTTTGCTCGTTTTCATTTTGGGAGTTCTGTCCACTCGTTTGTCTATTTTTGTCGTTTTTAACCAGAATAGGTGTTTGTTTTGGGGCGCTTACCTTTCTGTGTGCCTGTCCCGGTCGATGGCAGATATAGAATGCTCCAAATCACATGTGCATTTCTATAGGCCATTGCTCCTCGTGTCTCTCTGAGGGGGCCAGGTTCTGGCTCGTGGTCCCCGGTAGGCCTAAAACTCCTCCTACATCGACTGATGCGGGTAGAGTTATGTATCTAAATGTGATACATATCTGATATGTAGCTAAAGAGATACATATCAGCCTGAATAGCTCCGGGGAGCCTCCGGGACTCGCCCAGAAAATGGCGTTTCATTACGTTCATTGCTGGTATTATTATGTGTACAGCACTTCATGTACTCTCTTTAAAAAAATGAGTATTGTAGTATATATATTACCATTTGAAGGTTAAGTATGTACACACAAGCTGGAAGTATAAGGTAAAGGAGGTTAAAGAATTTTAGTGGTTATTACTAAGATGTGAAAGTTTATCTTGGATTTGAGATCATGCTCTTCGACAAATTATTGTAAATGTGGTTGAACTGCGTATATCTATAAGAAAGAAATAAAACCTTCTAAGCAATGCTCCCATTGCATAAATTTACAACATTTTTCTTGAATCTGTGATTTTTCTTATTACTGTATTGTAAAATATTTATCATAAACAGGTTGGAAAGATTAGAGGCCTTATTAAAGTGTAGTAGAAAGGATGCAAGAGATAGTATATGCAGAGTTATCCACTCCAGCGAGGACCCCAGTTCAGGAGAAGGTGATCTTGTAGATCGTTTAGCTGCTGAAGTAAATCACCTAAATTTTTTGGTGTCACATTGTGAGGGTGCAGCTCTTCTTGATGTCTACAAACCAGTAAGTATTTCAAGCTAGTAATTTAATTTTAACCACAAGTAATCATGATGACATAATTATACATATACTGTATTGTAAAAGCATCTTTTGGCACGTGCCCCTTTGAGACCCCTCTAGAGATAACTCGCTGAGATGGCTCCTCATTACTGAGTCTCGAGAAATGTTAGAGTCCTGTTGGGTCTACTGGAGACCAGAGCTGGAACCTCACCCCAACTCACAGAGGTGCAGAGAGCAGGGGGGACTAGTATTGTTACTTTCACCAGGAAAGCATGCAGAACGTCAACATGGGTTTACAGACATCTGCAATATCTGTGGAAAATGATGCATCAAAGCAGCCAAATGACATACTAATCAGTCACAAAAAACTGGTTCAGTCAAAATTAGTTTGAATATGGTAGTATTAAAAGTCACCACCAGACAGCCCTAATCACATCACAACAGCATAATGTACAAAATGCATGAAAGTCACCTTTTCTGCTTTTGGTGACTTTTTCTGCTGAATGGACCAAGTTCTTTGGTCTATTCATGGATAAATGTAGTCTTTCTTCTTGGCATTTTATTAGGGCTTAACACATCAAATATTGTCTACCAATCTCCACTGTGGCCTTCAGCAGACTGACCGTCTCAGAGACTTCGATGTGTACTTAATTGATAGCTTGACTCGTCTCGTACACTGCACTGTGGCACTGTGCGTAGTGTTGCCAGTGGTAATTGCATCAAATTATAATAAAAGTATATCTTGTTATTGTGCCCTTCACTTCCCATTGTTTTTGTATACATAAGACAGTTTATATAATTCTTTTCTGTGGGGAGCATCATCAGCTCCCTGAAGCTATCCAAACTGACATATGCCATATTAGTTTGGTGTCATTAGTCCCTGGAGTTCTGTGCCTACCAGAGACCACGAGCCAGACCCCTGGTCTCCCCTCAGAGAGGCACAGGGAGCAATGGCTATATGAGCGCTATACATTTAGAGTATATCATGTCTGCCATGAACTGGGAATACCCCCAGAAAGGTAGGTGAAACAATACATATCACCAACTGGTGAAAATTGCACCTTACGTCTGAACAGAGCCAAAGAACTCCCTCAATAGTAAACAAACAAACGAGCAAATCGTCATTCAACTAGAGCGCGCCAGCTTGAGCACACCCCTCTCCCCCGCTCCCCCTGAATGAGGCAAGGGGATGCCTGCTCAGGTGAGCCTGCAGCCCACCACCTCTGCTCTTGACTGATGTGTCTAGTGTCAACACGTCTCCTCTGGCCTCTCTTTCTCGACTGGTTTTTGCGTTTGTGGCTTTGCCAGCTTTGTGTGGTGTGGTGGCATACCAGGAGTTCTCTGGTATCCTGGGCTGCATGTGCCTAGGGCTATCTGCCCAAGTTGCCTGGTAAGTACTTCCCTTGTGTGTCAGGGTTTTCTTCCCTGGGACGTTTGGGTCTCACACCCCTTTGAGGGCTTTCTTGCTTGGCGTTGTTCTCACTCTTGGGGTCCGTCGAGTGTCTTGGGCTTCCTGTCTTGCCCTGGATAGGGAGTGGGCTTTTGCTGGGTGGGGCGCACTGCAGCCAGCGCACCTTGCACACAGCGACATCCAACGATTCTCTCTGGGGGACCAGTTTGTTTGTGTGTTGCTTCAGGGGCTTTTGTTTTCATTTGTTTTGCGCGTATTCACTTACTTCTGGCAAAGGTCTGCCTAGCTTCCCATTAGACATGCATAGGTTGTGTTGGTGGTCTTCCTCTGTTGCCCTGAGATTTCAAGACAACTTTCAGTTTCTCAGTTTGCCTGCAGTAAACAGAGTTTACCGGCTTAGCTAACCTCAGTGCCTGGACTTCCTGTATGGCTAATGTATCCTACAGGCCGTACAAAACCCATTGGGTTTGGGGGTACCATGGATGCGTCTTCCAAGCCCTGTTTCGCTTTAAGCAATGCTGAAGGTTGTTCGTTCCCTCTGCCTTGCGGTGACGATCACCTGTTCTGCCTCTATCATGCTGCCTGTTGAGTTGGTGACACCTACAACCCTGAGTCTTGCGGGATTTGCTCTCCGCTTGTCATTCAGTTTACCCATTCCTTGTCTAAGGATGTTAGGGGTCAGGCAGCAACTTCGCTTCATGCTAGGTATTCTTTGTTGCAACGAGTCAGGTTGGTTGAGTGGTTGGAAGCCCCATAGCTGCACCGCTCTGGGTTTAGGAACCAGGATTTAGGGGCGTTGGTTAGTTTAACCATGGTTCAGTCCGTGCCCTTGCTTCCTTTTCAGGTGGGTGTGGTTCACCCTGTTCCTTCCCCCCCCTTCCCCGCCTCCGGTTCCCTAACGTTTGCTTGGGATGAGGTTCGGGTAGCTTCGGGGATTGCCCCTTCCGATTTGCGGACAGTGGTTGAACCCGCTTTCCCCGCTGAGGCTTCAGAGTCGGCCCAGCAGGCTCCTTTCCTAAAGCTTTTCCCTGGGACTTTGCCATTTCTTCAAGGGGTGGTGGGCAGGAATGAGGGTTCTGCCCTGGGGCTTGGGGGGAGTTCCCTCGTTGCCCCAGCTTGAGCCTTTGTGCCTTCTAAGTTGGGGTTGTTGCTGTGGGAGGTGGGGTTTTCGACTTCTCCTTCCCTTCAGCTTTGGCTTACCATATTTGCCAGCATGAATTACACACCCTCGCGTACATCGCATCTATATTTGGTTGGGATGTTTTTGCAGCGGTTTTGTTGTTTTTTCTATGGGGAGGCCCTATGGCCCCCTAGAGCTATCAGTCTAATGTGTGATATATTAAATCGGGGCATTAGCTATGGAGTTCGACCTACCAGAGACTATGAGCCAGAACCTGGCCCCTTCAGAGAGGTTGCAGGGAACAATGGCCCTGGAAAACTCCCCTGTGGTCGAGGGTTTTCCTTGGCACCCAGAAAGGTACGCATAATAAAAGAAACCCCACAGGGTAAGAAACTAACAACTAAAAAAAAAAAATTAGAGAGGTAGAACTCCCTCCAATCCCAAGGAAACAAGCAAACGTCACACTCCATTGCCGCGCCGCTCATCGGCACAGCCCTCCCTTCCCGTGCCGGCCACTCAGCCCTCCAGTTTATTAGCTAATGTGGTCCGGGGTGGACGCTTCTGTGGCCTCGGTTTTCATAGCAGTGTTTGCCATCGTGACAACCTCTGCAGTGTTGTTGTATGTGGTGGCCAGGTGTTCCTCATCAGCGCCAGGGCTGCATGCACTTAGGGGCTTCCTTCCCTAGGTGCCCTGTGTGAGTACTGCCCTTTCGTGTTAGGATTATCTTCCCTGGTGTGTTTGGGAAACCATTTCCAATAGGGGTTCTTGCTGCTTGGCATTTACCCCGCCCTTGGGGCCAGCTGGAGTTTCATGGCCCTTCTTTGACTTTGGGTAGGGAATGGTATCGTGCTGGTTAAGGTGTCAAGGTGTTGTGCAGGCTGTCTACCTATGCGGCGGAAGGTTCCTGTTTCCTCTGTGGACGTTGTACTTTTGCATTTTTTTTCTTGCCTGGTGAGGGTCTGTCAGGTGTGGCTTTCATTCCACTTATAATAATTTGGTGGCCCTCTGCTAGGCCCCCATGATCGTACATGTGGTAGGGGTTTCAGTGTTTGCTCTCCCCCCTTGTTAGCTTTGGGTCTTAACCGGTTAGCAACACCTGGGCTTTCCGTAGCAGTCAGCCTACGGGTCCTGGAAAACCCTGTCGGGGCTCGATGGACCAATGGATGCATCTTCTGGGTTCCAGCCCGCCTTGTGCGGGTTTGTTGGTTGCTTTACCCTTATCTCAGGGTGACAGCCATCTCTTTTGCCTCTGTTGTGCTGCCTGTTGGGACAACGACACCTTGACCCTGAGACTTGCGAGTCGTGTTCTCTGTTTGTTCTCCAGTACTATTCTGATTACTTTACTGGTAGAGTACAGGCTGTATCCACATTGCATATTATGTTTAGGTTGTTGCAATGCGCTAGGTTGGTTTCCCACCTGGATGCCCCCAGGGCCGTCCCATTTTGGTTGGGCATTGTTCGCCCTTCTTTACCCCCCTCCCTGTTCCCGGCTCTGTACCATCTGCGAGTTTCGGGGTCAGGTCGGGGCGGGGTTTAGTTTGTGCTGAGACTTGGGTGGCTTCTGTGGCTGCCCTGTTAAGGTTGATGAGGGAAGCATTCAAGCCTGCTCCTCCTACCGAGGCTTCTGGGCCTTCCCAGCGGCCCTTTCTTTGCCTCCTTTCCTCTGGACTCTGCCTTTTCTTCAGGGGTGTTTCGCGTGGAGGACGACTCTGCCCCAGGGCCTCTGTTGTGGATTCCCAGGGCTGTGGGGGGGGGGGAGGGTGTGTCTGCTAGCAGTTCTGGAGTTGTTTGCACCTGCCTGGGTTTTCTGCCTTCTGGGCAGGGTTTTTTCGTCCCTCCTGTCTGCTTCTTATCTCAAATTTGCTGGCGTGTTTTTCGGATCTCTTGCGTTCTTATCTGAGGGTCGCTTCCCTGCCTGACCACCAGGGCGGCACTGTGATTTGTTTGTTTACATGTAATTACCTAAGTGTAGTTACCGGATGAGAGCTATGCTTGTGGTCTTCCGTCTCCCCAGCACTCTTTGTCATATAACTCTTTGAAATTACTGATGGTTTTGGCCTACCTTGAGGCTACCTTGAGGTGCTTCCGGGGCTTAGTGTCCCCGCGGCCCGGTCGTCGACCAGGCCTCCTGGTTGCTGGACTGATCAACCAGGCTGTTAGACGCGGCTGCTCGCAGCCTGACGTATGAGTCACAGCCTGGTTGATCAGGTATCCTTTGGAGGTGCTTATCCAGTTCTCTCTTGAACACTGTGAGGGGTTTGCTAGTTATGCCCCTTATGTGTAGTGGAAGCGTGTTGAACAGTCTCGGGCCTCTGATGTTGATAGAGTTCTCTCTCAGAGTACCTGTTGCACCTCTGCTTTTCAACGGGGGTATTCTGCACATCCTGCCATGTCTTCTGGTCTCATGTGGTGTTATTTCTGTGTGCAGGTTTGGGACCAGCCCCTCAATTATTTTCCACTCCCCCTGCCTC